TCACACTCACTCACACTCACTCACTCACTCCCTCCCTCACTCACTCACTCACTCACATCATGGCAGGCGTGGGACAATGTGCACTGTCAAGGGCCTGTTTTGCGTGGCAGTTGTGGGACAATGTGCACTGCCAAGGGTCGGATGTACGCCCCGGGGTTCCGCTGGCGTCCCTGGGTCTCCGCCTCTTTTGCGTGGCAGGCGTGGGACCGTGTGCACTGCGAAGGGGTCGGATGTACGCCCCGGGGTTCCGCTGGCGTCCCTGGGTCTCCGCCTCTTTTGCGTGGCAGGCATGGGACAATGTGCACTGTCAAGTGGTCGGATGTACGCCCCGGGGTTCCGCTGGCGTCCCTGGCTCTCCGCCTCTTTTGCGTGGCAGGCGTGGGACAATGTGCACTGCCAAGGGGTCGGATGTACGCTCCGGGGTTCCGCTGGCGTCCCTGGGTCTCCGCTGGCGTCCCTGGGTCTCCGCCTCTTTTGCGTGGCAGGCGTGGGACAATGTGCACTGTCAAGGGGTCGGATGTACGCCCCGGGGTTCCGCTGGCGTCCCTGGGTCTCCGCCTCTTTTGCGTGGCAGGCGTGGGACAATGTGCACTGCCAAGGGGTCGGATGTACGCCCCGGGGTTCCGCTGGCATCCCTGGGTCTCCGCCTCTTTTGCGTGGCAGGCGTGGGACAATGTGCACTGCCAAGGGGTCGGATGTACGCCCCGGGGTTCCGCTGGCGTCCCTGGGTCTCCGCCTCTTTTGCGTGGCAGGCGTGGGACAATGTGCACTGCCAAGGGGTCGGATGTACGCCCCGGGGTTCCGCTGGCGTCCCTGGGTCTCCGCCTCTTTTGCGTGGCAGGCGTGGGACAATGTGCGCGGCCAAGGGGTTGGATGTACGCCCTCACTCATTCACTGACTGACTGACTGACTCACTCACTCACTCACTCACTGACTCACTCACTGACTCACCCACTCACTCATTCACTCACTCACTCACTCACTTACTCAATCCCTCTACTCACTCCCTTACTCACTCCCTCCCTCCCTCCTCCCTCACTCACTCACTCACTGTACTTGAACATACATACACACACACACAAACTCACCCACCATCACCGCTCCATCACTCTTATACTTCCTCTTCCCTTCTTGCTTTTCTATGCTCAGTCTAAGTCTAAAGAAGTTGGTAACATGTGGGGTTATCCGGTCCTTTAATTCTGTTTTTTTTTGGCGTTTCTTTTGCTTACAACACTTGGCGAGAGACGAGTACTGCATTGGGGGGTTTTCGCTTGCTGGACTCCATAGATTTTGCAACCCTACAACAGCCCTGCTCATCACAATCACCATCCTCATGTTCATCTTCATTCTCATCCTCAGCATACATCCCCATCATCCCCATCATCCTCATCATCCTCATCATCCTCATCACGCTCTTCGTCCTCATCATCGTCGTCATAAACTCATTCCTGTTACCATCACTTTCGTCATCATCAGTTTCCTTCATCGTTCTGGTCAGCAACCTCATCAACATCAAAAGATTGGCACTGTTTGTGACTTGCAGCAACTCCAAGAAAAACGCGTGGGACCGTTGCCGCATTCCGACTTCACCTTGCTAATCCTCCTTTACGATTACCACCCTACCCCAGCCCTGCTAGCTTTCGTACCTCCCCCCTGGCCTCAAGTTACATTACACTACACTACACCACACTACACTACACTAACCACAACTACAACTACAACTACAACTACGCTACTTTACACTACACTACACTACGCTAGACTACGCTACACAACTACACTACCCTACATTAAATTACACTACACTCATTACACCACCACAAACTCAACTGCAACTACACTACACTAACTACACTACACCACAACTACAACTCCACTACACTACAACTACAACTACAACTGCACTACACCACACTACATCCAGCAGTTGTGGGTGAGGTGACCGACCAGGTGACCAGTGCAACCATGGTAGTCATTCCAAGAAGCACAACTCCAACCACCTTCAGTCCATGAGTGGATTCGCTCTGCCATCCGTGATTCACCAAAAACAAGCTCTCCTATAGGTTTCCTCGCCGCCTTGTGCGGTACTACTGGTCTATACTAGTATTTGTTCATATTTTTTGGAGATTTCGAATACAACAGTGCTACATGTTGTTGCATGCTATTGTTACTTCCGAGGTGCCTGCCTCAGCACATGGAATTGCAAGGGAATTGAATATGACTCTGGCCAGTGCAAAGTGTGGCACCGTTCTGCTGGAATTGGCACAACAGTTCCCAAGATGGGTGCAGTTTGCATGCGCTTTGGCCCAGCTACCCTGGCTACTACTGATGCCTTTGTAGAATTTCAAGGGGGGCAAGACCGCTCCTGTCGAGGCTCCGATGTCTCAGACATTGATCCAGACTATTATGTCTTATTTGGACCTGCTCGGGCAAGCACATTGGAAGAGTGCAAAGTCCTTTGCGTCTCCACCCCAGACTGCAGGGGGGTTGATTTTAGTGAATCTGGATGCCAGGTTTGGACAAGGGATGGTGGAATTCTTTCAACTTCTTCAGAGAAAGGTTCGGTTTGCCTGACATATGAACCGTTCCAGACAGTGGATGGAGGTACTGACCGAGAATGCAAAAGTGACGGAGTTAATTTGCTAGACAGTTTCATTTTCTATGATGCTGCATTAGCTCCATCTTTGCAGATCTGCAAGCAGAGATGTGCCGCACGAGCAAACTCAAGTTTGACAACTCAAACGCAAGATGTTTGCAAAGGGATTTCGTTCAATGAAAGTGGATGTGTTGTTTGGCTGGTCGGCATTCAAGGATCTACAGCAAGCGAAGGAAACACTTGCCTGCGCTTTGAACCTTTCATTGATATCAATGGGGGGCAGGACCAGTCATGCCGAGGAGCACATGTCTTCGATGATTCCAGCTTACACTATACATCTTTCAGCAGGTCAGAAGTCCTTACTCTGGGGGAATGTAGGTCCAAATGCGTGGAGATTTCGGGTTGCCGGGGAATTGAGTTCAATCAGCAAGATTGCAGAGTCTGGTTGAAGGTGGAAGGAATCGGCACAACAGTTCAACAAGTCGGATCCATCTGTCTCCGTTTCGGAAGTCCAGACCCTTTCCGCGCAGCTTCCGCCTTTGATCCTGTGGATGGTGGTTTGCATCGTGCTTGTCGTGGAGCCAATGAAAGTGACAACTCCGAGGCCCACTGGAAATTCCACAGCATCTCTGAAGTAAGAACCTTGGAGGCGTGCGAAATGCGCTGCATTTTCACAGCTGGCTGTGTGGGCATTGAGTTCAATCGCTGGGGCTGTGAAGTATGGATGCGAAGTGGAGGCATTGAGACTTCAGTCTATGCTCCAGGCTATCAGTGCTTCCGCTATGAACCATTTCGCTCTGCAGATGGCTTTGACCCTAAGCTAAACAATGCGAAAGGCTTTGAAGTTAATAGCTTAGGTGGCAACACCATATTTCCAATGCCCGAATCAAATAAGTTTTTCTGCGATGTTTCGGGAGTTGTTCAGGAATTTTGGTTTCAGGCTGAATGCCAATGATGCAGGACACTCCGAGGCAATGTAAATCAATTTGAGAGGTCCCCAAATGGAAGATATGGACTTGATGTGGACTTGGTTAACTTGATGGAATAATTAGTCATGATTATTGTAGTCACTACATTGTAGTCCATATGGGGATGGGGCAACCTATGGGACCAAATTTTGGGGTAATGAATAACATCCATTTAGGAGCTTTTTTTGGGCTCACGCAGACAGACCTTCGTTGTATATAAGACATAAGATCTTAGATAATCTTGTATACTTCGTCATTTTACTTCCAGACAATAACAATGTCGACGACAGACAAACTTGAAGATCCTGCCATTTCCCTAAGCGTGCCTTTTAGCTTCTTGTTCCAATAACAGAATCAGAATGCCTCAATTCATCGCATGAATGTACCTTCTCAACTTGAGTCCATGCTCGTGCCTGGATTTTACCCGTCCGGCTAAGCCACTCATCCAAACAACGACAATCCCGCCTTCCAGCTATATTGTCCATGGATCACCGCTTCCTGCAAAGCCTTTTCCGGAGTTGCTCAGCCCCCTATAGGAAGACAAAGTCAGCATAGATGCAGCGAGTTCTTTTGGAAAAGCACAACGCTGCAGAGCACTGCATTGCCACTGCAACCTTTTGTCAGTTGGATTTTCTCCATGTCTCATGACCGCTCTATGGACAGAGCGCTCATCGCGAGGAGATTTCTTGAACGAATGAAGGCAAGTGTTAAGGCAGTGCTCAGCAAATTGCTTGCAGCGATTCTCTTAGAAAATGTGTGTGGACATCTCTGGAGATGTTTGGAGTATGAAAGCTGCACACAAGCTATGCTGCAAGTCGAGGTCAGACACTGTCCACACCCAATGTAAATTGTCAGTGTGAACTGCAAAAGAAGACGTGTCTTGCAACCTCAACGTTAAGCTCTGAAACTTCGCCATCATCCGGAACCGAATGGAATTCGTAGCGTTGGAAGTGCACAAAAGTCGAGTTTACGACTGAATAATGTTGAACTATGATGAACTATGATGTTTTATACATATTATAAATTGTTTATAAATGGTATCTAAATGGTGCTTGTGACTTAGACTCAATTGACGTATAGATGAATATACATATATTCTCAAATCTATCACTTTCCCAAGTGCCAGTTCGAGATCACACGTTCCAGCTGGGATGAATGCATGGTGCTCCGCAGTCAATGTGGGGCTCAGGCGAGCCACGTGGCGGGCGGGATTTCACTGCCTTGTTGCCATAGCAAAACAGTGCTGCGAGTGTTTCCTGAGGACAGGATTGGTGTATCTACAGTTGATATCAGGGAATTCAACATCCATCTACAATTTGGTGATCAGGGATCATTTACAACTTGGTGAGATCAGGGAATCTCCAGGACAATCCAACTCCCTACCAATCTGGGATCTTTCCAGATTGGTAGCGGAGCGCTGGACGAGCGCGACGCCCAGGGACCAGTTGAAAACTGCTAACAGGGTTGGTAGGTTTCTCCAAGAAGGATGAGTGAGGCTTCTGGAGGGGATTCATCTGGAACAACAGTGCCGAAGGAACTAGCCAGTTTAGTTCCCAATTTTGACCCAGCCGTGGACAATGTCGAGATCTGGACGAGCAAGGTCGAGCTTCTCCTTGCGACGTGGCCCAACAACAAACTGAATGAGTTAGCAACACGCCTGATTTTGGGGTGCAAAGGCACCGCACACCAGAAACTGCAGCTGCTCAAGTCAGAGGTTTTGACCAACGATGAGAAAGGTATTCAGAGACTTGTGGAGATTGTTGCTGAAACTTGGGGTCGAATACCGCTGGAGAAAAAGTTCGAAATGGCCGAAAAGGCTCTCTTTTGCAGTGCCCAGAAGGTTGATGAAAGTGCAGATAGCTACCTCTCCCGCTGTGATGTGGTGTGGACTGAATTGCTGGCCAAGAAGGTGTCACTTGAGGAGATTCAAGCCTACATCGTACTCAGGGGAAGCAAGCTTGCACCAGAAGACAAAAAGAGAGTCATAGTAGAGCCCACAGATGTTGAGAAGGGGGCCCTCACCATGAAGAATGTCACAGCAGCAGTCAGACTTTTGGGTTCAGGGTTTTTCCAAGAGTACACCGGTCTCCGTCGAGATCGCAATGCAAAAACTTATGATCACATGGCATTACATGTTGATGATGAAGGTGAAAATGAGTATGAGGCATACGTAACTCAGGACGATGCTCTTGAGGACGATGTGCTCGAGGCCTTAGCCGCGGAGAACGATGAGGATGCTATTTTGGTCATGCAGTTTGAAGCTTCGATTTCTGAGACGATCGAATCAGATTCAGAACTGTCAGCCTTTTGCTCAACATACCAAGATGCACGTAGGAGGCTGAGTGAGCGTGTCAAGGTTCGAGGTTTCTGGCCAGTGAATTGAAGGTTTGACAAAGGTTCTGGAAAGAAGGGTCCTGGAAAAGGCAAAGGCAAATCACAGTTTGCTGGACCGGGTTCGCTTGCCAAGCGGATCGCCAATTCCTTTTGCCGCATTTGCATGCAAAAGGGGCACTGGAAGAATGAGTGCCCACAGAAAGAACTGCCAGTTCTCATGCCTCTGCCAATAGCTCCACTGCCAGTGTTGCGCCCACATCCGTTGTGACCATCGATGATGCCCTTGCCGAGATTGCCAACTTCACCATTGTTGAGGGTGAGGACCCTGTTGATGAACAACCATGCTTCACGGCCATGAGTAATCACTGCGGGGTAAGATAGAGGGGATTAGCCATAAGTTTGCCCAGCGTTTCCACAGCCGGTGGAAGACAGCCATCAGGACGAAGATATCTTCTGAGAAGATTGTGCATCCCACCGCGATGCCTGCACCATGTCCTGAGACAATCGTAGCCGGGCAATCGCCCATTGTGAGAAAGTCACCGCCTGCCGAGGTCTTGAATGACCAAACCTGTGATGTGCACTTTGCCACAACCGGAGCAGTAGGAATTGTGGATTTAGGAGCCTCACAAACTGTCATTGGAGCCCAACAGGTGAAAGATCTCATAGGGAGTTTACCCCAACATGTTCAAAGTCAGATTCAAAGAACATCATGCAACTTGACGTTTCGGCTTGGCAATCATCAAACACTCACCAGTAGACATGCCATTGTGCTGCCATTGGGACAAGCCAAATTCCAAATAGCAATTGTACCTGGAGAGACACCATTTTTGCTGTCAAGTTCGTTCTTGAAAGGAATCCAAGCAATCATTGATGCTGACCACGGCACCATTTGGAGTAAACGGTTGAACAAAGAGCTTCATGTTGAACGGTCTAGCAAGAATTTGTTTCTCATGGACATTTGCCAATTATGGGCTGATCCCAATGATGCGCAGCCAGTACAGGAATCTGATGCAGCTGGATTCACTTGTCATCCAGTGATCGCTGAAAATACTGAAAGCCGTTCCGGAATGCACCATGGCACACACAATCCACGGTCACATGCATCAGGTGAGAAAGGTCAGAGGTCCGAAGGTACAACACAACCTCAAAAGATGCCCTCATGTCAAGTCCAGCATAGTAGTGATAGCCGTGCACTGCAGCCTGAACAGCCGAGCGAACGTAGTGCCGTGATCAACTTGTCGTCTGTCGCGTGTGTGTCTCAACATGACGTCAGTGTCCCAAATGCTGCAGAAGTTCCACGACAGCCAGCTGAAAGAGGATCAAAAGGATGTCATCAGCAAGATCCGCCTCATACCGCTCGAGACGCTGGAGAAGGAGAAGATCACCTTCGGTCAAGCCAAGCTGGGAATGCCCTTTCCGGAAGTGTTCCAAGATGCCAAGTGGACGGATTGGTTCATTCGAACCTACGAGAAGAGTGGCAAACCAGAACACCAAATGTTCGTCCAATATGTGACGAAACGCATCGACGAGGGGATCATCATGGAGCACCGCAAGGGCTATCAAAAGACATCAATGACTGCCACCAGCAACAGCAGTCAGATATCCAAGGATGTGACAGAGTCCTGGGATCAAATGACCGAACCGGAGATGCTGCAGGATTTCGAGTTGCCAGGGATCAGCAAAGTGCAACAGATGGAAGAACAGGTGACCAACCTCTCTCAGGAGAACAAGAACCTCTCCGATCGGATGGCTGGCATGGAGATGGCAATGAACGAGTTGCTTCAACATGTTTGCAATCTGAGTGTGAAGAGCGAACCGTAGAGAGTGCCGAGAGTTTCCATGCACACCATGAGATGGCAATGCCCGATTTGGATTTTGACTTCATGATTCATGACCTCTGATAATGCCAACAGCTTTAAAGCCCGTATCAGTAGGTATGCATCCAAGTTTTCCAAAGAACTGCAAGAAGTGATTCCGACAGCACAAGCCAGCTCCAAGCGCCGAAGCTCCCGACTTGACCTCTTGGAGGTAATGTGCTCCGAGCGAAGTGAACTGACTCGTCAGGTAGCAATTCTTGGGGGCAAAGCCAAAAGATTTGGTCGTGTTCAAGGGGATTTAAGCACTTGCGAAGGACGTCAGAGACTATTCTGCATCCTAGTAAATGAACAACCACGACATGTATGGATTAGCCCAGAATGCGGTCCATGGTGCCAATGGAGTTGTCTCAACATGAACCGATCATTAGCGAGATGGGAACAAGTCATGACCCAAAGGTTTGAGAAACTATGGCAATTGCACTTTCCATCGTCTTGTTCAGGTATAAGAGAAAACACCGCAGTCACTTTGATCTTGAGCAACCAAGAGGTTCTGCGATGATGAAAGCTCCAGGAATGTCTGAAATATTGGAGCACACTCTATGGAATGAGTTTGACATGTGCCGAGTTGGTGGCTTGAAAGACCCGACCACCAGTGAAGCCATCAGGAAACGCATGACTGTATGTTCCACCTC